TTCTAATTTATTTTAAATTATAATATTCATATTGTTTTACAGTAATAATATTACTGAGTTAAATACTTAAATAGTAATCATAACATAACTCATATCTAAATGTTGAAGACACTGATGAAACAAATTAGTATAAAAAAGTTCTATCCAATAGGATTTTCTCATAAGTAAAACGAAAAGGTTCTGTAAAAATAAAACATTTCATTCTCAACAGAAGTATTTTTGTTTTTTATTTTTATTTTTTGTCCTATGTCAATAAAGCCAAACTGTATTGGGTAACATACTTCAATAATACTTAATGGATATTTAAGCTTTAAATTTAAATTAATTCTACAAAAACAAAAAAATTATTGTAGGTTGAATCTTAAAACCACTGTCATGTGCAGGGCTCGTAACTTCATGCACTAAAAAATGCATAAATAAGCATGCATTCATGCACTAAAAATTGTCAAAATATGCATTAAAATATGCACTTAAAAGTTCGAAAATATGCATTTATATGCCTTCACATTTTTAAATTATGAACTCAAAATATGCATTATGTAAAAAAAACATGACCAAATTTTAAAATAATAAGAATAAATCCATACATTTTAAAAGTATTTTATTCCTTTTTATTTTCATATATTTAACAGTCAAAATTAATATTATAAAAAATAAAACTAATACTTGTGAAGTTTAAATAGCTTTGACATCTTTATAAATTTTAAGTAGGTAGTCATTTTTGTTTAATTTGTGTACACCCTTATTCAGCACCAACAATGAAAACATTTGGAATTAAATATTAGGTTTTTCATTTTGAGATAATTTAGTAATATATATTCTATAAGTGTATTTTTTATGTTTTCCAACTTAAGAGGTCGCACTAGTAGACAAAATATGGCATAAAACCATGGTTTTGTAATTCAAGTAATACGGCTTATTGAAGTAGTTTACAGTAAAAATACCTATTATAAAAATTGTAGAGTAGAACTTTTTTTACAATCGTATGAAGCCCAATTTTCGATATTTTTATTAATTAGCTAAATAATTAATCAATAACAAATTTAAAAAACCGTTATAATTTACCAAGTGATATTGGACGATTGGAACAAGATATCAAAAATCGGAAGAAACTTTTCAAATATTTGTCTAAAAAATATTTTTATGAAATAATATGCACTAATGACTGTAAAAAATCAACTATATGCCAAATATGACTTTACACCCTTAACATGCAAAAACATGCACTATCAAACTTCATATTATTATTACTATTGTTATGAAACTGATTTGTATCACAGTTAGCATGTTTTCCTGTGTAGCAAAAAAAACATGCAGATGCATGAACTTACGAGCCCTGGTCATGTGTAATACTATATTATAATTATTTTATTCTAACAGCCAGCCTAAAATTAATTTATAATTTAAATTTAAAAGACACATAATAGGTTATAGGTATGATAAAAATGTAGGTATCTATTATTGAAAAATACTTACTATTAATTATTATAAAGATGAAAGTAACTTGTGTTACGGAACTTTGGACTTTTTAGAGTGATTACAGATATCACTATTTACTTTTTGTTTTTGACGCACTATAGATTAGATAATTGTACGTATTCAAATCAATTCGTTCAATTTGATTCAATTGATTAATTCATTATGTTTATAGATTAAAACCAACAAGTTAAATAAATAGAATGTTACTTTAAAAGTACATTTTTAACTCCTCTGTAACTTTTTAACTACAGTTAAAGTACCTACCCACATTAGTATTTTGGGTGATTTATCAGGGGGTGTCCAACAATGATTGAAACTCACAAACAACATTTTTCAAACTATTAACTTTACTAATATTTTATTTATATTGAGTTCAGAGTTGTTATATAAATTATATTGAATCGGTATTGAATATCGATATTTTTTCCGATTATTTTATTTTACTGTCCTATAATGGTGTTCGTCCACAATGTGTTAACAATTATTTAATTTATTTGAATTCGTTATTCAGTTATTACCTGATACAGTGGTAGACGGTAGACGAATAATACCATAGTAGTATAATAATTAATAGAATAATCATTGATTTATAATCAATGGTATCATTAATAAAGAAATGTATAATTCTCTAATCTGATAAACTGTAAACTAGATTAAAATATAGGTACCTACTACGACTACCTACTTTCACAATATTTTCGTTGTTATTGTATTTTTGCTGTGGCCTGCTGGTATTTTTATAATCGAAATGACCTGGTGAAATTCAAATAATTTCTAGATATCTCTGATAAATTGTAGACATTTAGTCTCTGTGTCGTCGAATCTAATCAAATGAATTTCAGTTTTGCCCTTTATATAAAAATACAATTTATTTTATAATAAAATAAAAATAGTATACTGATATACTATAAAATAAATGATAACACCAATGTCCAATATATTAGGACTTTTTTTTTGTTACAATTAACTTATTAGAATACCTACTTGTAAAATAATAGGAAATGACACTTTTTCTGAACAATTTATCTTATGGCCATTCAGTGATGAATTTCTACCTAATAAGTTGGCAAACTTCCTTTAATTGCTGCTCCTTATTGTACGTTTAATCATAGTTTTTCGATGGTTTTTCATAGGGAGTACCTAATGGAAAATGGAAATCAATGACATAGCAAAAGAAAATATAAGGCAATGTAGGATATATAATATAAACTATATTATTTACTCATATTATGTAATATGTATATGATAACTTATAGCTTATATCTTATATAATATGCAGTAGCGTGTCTAGGGGGTGAGGTTAGGGGTTATATCCCACCCCATTGTCCCTTAAATCCCCTTATTTGTGTCTTTGGTTCTAGCACCACAATTATTTAATTTAAAAGTATTTTTATCAGGGTTGGGACCTTGTGGCATTTACATATTTCTTATAATATGTTTAAAAGACAACAGAGTAAGCTTAAAATTTGTTTCGTAATTTAGAGAACTGAAATTAAACATTTTCTTTCAGTGGCGGTTTTTAGGGGGGGCGCTCACCCCCTCCTTGGACTTTTTTTGCATGTCCTTTTTTTCATTGAAATTACACTAAATGCTCGAATTGCTTTAATTATGGTGGGGGAGGCCTAAAAATTGAAAATAGCCCTCCTTGATGTTTTATCAAAACCGCCACTGTTTTCTTTCCATATTTAGAGATTTTTTTAGATTATTGTGCCACTTCTGGACTTTTTGAGTTTTGACCTATTTTTTAATGAAAGTTTTAATGAACGTTTTTTGATTATTATAGTCTAATTTTAAAAGTACCTAAATAGATTCAGTAAAATAGACGGCTGTAATACGATTGAGAACGTTCGATCTTTTTTAGCGTACGATTGAGATGACTCGAAATGGAACAATGAAATAACCGCTGACCCAATAAAACAGTACTATTGAGAACGAAATTAAGTGCAGCGTTGCCGAACTATATTCAAGTCCAAATAAAAATGAAATAAAATATTGAATAAAATAATTAAAAATCATAAATTTTAAAAATGTCATAATTTTTAAAAATAATTTACAATTTAATTCCCCTATATAAATTTCCCAGATGTGTTAAATATTTTATTAATCCTTCAGAAGATTTTTTTTTACAGTAGTTAATATAAGACTGTATTGTTTTTGAAATTTTTTCTTCATCTGCTTTTGATGCCTTTTGAACAGTACCCTGTTGAATAGTATTGAGTTTTAAAGACGTTTATTCCTGCCACATAGACAGTGTGTGAGCAGTTCTAAGAGTCATGTATATTTATATAGGCTATAGCCATAGCCGATTTTTATATGGCAAAGTTTGGCAACGTTGCGCGGAAAAATAAAAAAAAACTGATCGTTCTCAATCGTAGTAGTCAAAAGGGTCTAAAAAAGGTATCGCCAATAATGACCGTTCTAAATCGTATTCCTGCCAAATAGACCGACTACTACATGGGTCACTGCGCTGACGCATTATTTGGTATTATTTTTAAACTTTTGTTAACTGCTGATTTTGATGGGCCCTTTTTTTGTCTTTTACGGCTACGATTATCATCGAATGAGTGTGGAAAGCGTTAGGTATATATATTACATTAACACAGTCGACTAGCTAGTGTACTTGTAATTACTATATCTACTAGTTGTTTTTTCGGTTATCTCAACCCTGATTACTACATAAAACATCCCCCCACCCTTTGAAAATTCCTGGGCACGCCACTGATAATATTTACAACCAAACAAATAAAAAATAAAAAAACAATTGGTTAGGTACCTGTTATAATAATACATACACATTAATATATATATTTGAAAATCTTATAATATTAAGTATATTATATACAATTATACACAGTCTATTTGCAATAAATATACATATTTTATACATTAGGTATCTAGATAATATTAAATTTTAAATTTTGTGTGATTATTTTTTAGAAAAAAAATCGTTTAATTTCAACATGTCAAACCGTCGACATTATGACAGTCCATTGTTCTCCTGAATGAGGACCATAATACACCGTATATGGCCTTGGCATAAGCTGGTTTCACGGAGCGAACCATTTTCAGCTCCAAGCACTTTGCGCGTGTGCCGCCGTCTTAAATATTTATGGTCTATACCGCGGTTGTGGGTATATGTGTATTGTAAAGGTATAGACGTACCTACATATACCGCAAGTGTGTCCGTCTGGTTATAATAATATATAATATCTGCAGTAAATAAATATTCTATATGGCCGGAAACGTTTTCCAGATTTCGCGGACGTGTTTCTGCAACATCTGAAGGCCTGAAGACATCGGACATATCGGATCCCGGGCAAACATTTGTACCGACTGCATTGTGTATCCATGGCGAGGAGTAACACGATTTTATGACCACTCGCCTAGCCCCGTCAACATCTGGGGGGAGGGAGGTTTCTTGGGCAGCCCAAACTCTGGGCAGGCGATGTCCATGATGTGTGGCTCTTCTGTGGGCACAGTGTCCTGTGCCGTTATATTAAAGGGAATAGTAGAATCAGTCATCACTGTAACGGAAACAAACAAAAAAAAAAAAACCTTTAATTTCATATTTCATTTTCACAGCGATTTCAATATCAAGCGTACAATGTAATAAGTATATATAGGCCCTAGAGACATCGTATTGTTATATATTATAGTAAGGATATAATATTTTTGTTAGAATCATTCGCTGTCACTATCAACTGTAGGTGGGTATGGATTATTATAATATATTATTATATACCAACTACCTACTTCGTTTTTTTTCGTAAAAATCTAACTGTGTAGTTATAAATTGTCGGTGGGTGGGTGGTGGGTGTGTGTGTGTCGTGTGACGCATAATACAGCGAATTACCAATATGCAATAATTTTTTTTTTAATTTTTTCATCTTTTTACTGTGCCCAAATTACGCAACAAAAGTTTGGAAACTATTTTACTGTTGCAGTCCAAATAGGTATATAAACTTTTATTTTCTGTCAATGTTTTCTATAGTTTCACACAAGTCGCTCGAAGATGATACCAACTGAAAATCGCACTAAAATTACTTATATAAAGTAAGTAGAAAGTGTGACAGATTTCCTATCAAAAGAAGGATTGTAGGTATAGTACATATTATTATTATGACACTTATGGTTTTAACCGTTTTTTCTACCCACAAAATGTGTTCACCGACCAAATATATAACACCATCAAAATTTAAGATCAATAATTGTATCGCTACCACTAAGACACCAAATTTATAAAACTGTACGAACATATCCTAAAGAAATGTTTATACTTCAAAAGTTTTCATATTATTATTTTTACTTCACACAGCCGAAAAGGTTTTTGCTATTCACTTATCGTGACAAAACGGAACAGACTACCAAAAGATTTAAACAATGCAACACAATCATATACGTACTACTATTATTTATCTCCTTATATAATATTATTTAAGACAGTATTATAAGTCTTAAGTATGTCCTACATGTATTTATTAATTTTTTTCTCAGTGGGAAAAAAGATAAACGCTAGTTTAATACCAACAACAATGATCACCAATCAACAATTCACTTTTGTCGTACCTACATCTAAAGTTCTTATTTTACTTAAGAAATCATAATTTTTTTTTCACCTTCATACTTTGTATTATGTATTAATCACCTTTAGATAGAAAAAATATATTAATGCTAATGATATATATTACCTATAGAAATGTTCTATTATAATATTATATAATATAAGTGTAAACCATCGACAGCATAAAGTAATATGTGTAGATATAATAACATTTTTTTTGATATTATAATGATGTATTTGATATCCAATTATAAATAAATATTTAAAATATAACTAATATTAAAACGTAGCCGAGTCTTGTCCGTTTGACATTAACATCACAAGTTCATCCCTAATACGTTAAATGTAAATACTAACCTATTTAGGTACTACCTATAACCTATATATACTTGTAATTATTACCTTTGCGAATAAGGATTGTGATACAGTACGAGTGATGAAAACAACACAATATTTAAAAACAAATATCTGATCAGCCAATTATAATAGATAGTGTTTTTTTGTTAACATTATTATTAGTAGAAATTTAAAAATAAATAAATCTTAATCATATAAGTACCACACATCCTCTCCATTTTACTGTCGACTATAATACACTATTGTAAAATTATTGTTCAAGTTCTAGTATATAACTTAAACTTTTGGGTAGGTACACTATTTTGACCCATGATTTTTGTTAACATATTATTATGAACATTTTGAGGTTGAGGATAACTCCACATATTTGCTGTGGTAATTTATCCATGATTATAGTTTATAAGAAGAGTAATAACGTAACGTTAACTTCTATATAGAACTTTGTTTGATAGTTGATAAAAAAAAAATAATAATAGTAATAATGTATAAATGTATATATTTTTATAAAAATGTATATTATTAAAATAACTTAAAAAGTACAACGTAAAAATGTAAAAATGTCCTACAAACTAAATAATATTGTTTACTTAATATTAAGACAGTAATAATAATAATAATAATAATAATAATTATAAAAAAAAAATAATAATAATAAAATAATAAAATAATAATAATAATTTAATGATAATAATAATAATAATACAATTAATACAGTTAGGACGTGTATAAGAATAAGTTTAAATGTATCACAGGCTTATGTTTATAGTATTATATATAAATATATAATAATATACTTAAGTATCTAACACTAAAGAAAAAAATATTGAATTCCTTTCCCCATTTTTTTTTTAAATTTTTTTTATACTTTTTAGACTTAAATCGTACTTAAATAACTATCGTATATTTTAACATGATATATAAATAATTTATTTCCATCCACTGAGGTAAAAAAATGCTTTAGGATATCACTACCCGACCCGAAAGTGATTTATTTTAAATACTACATAATATTACTCTACACAATCCTATTCGCCAATATATTTTTAAAAAAACAACTATATATAATTTTATTTACACGCTATTTATATCATAACATATATTATTGTCTAATGAGAGCCCATATACCACAAGCAGTGCCGTTAATCGTTAGACCTGTACATCAATGTTTAATTGGTCCTTCGCAGGTTATAAACTCTTTGGGATGAAGCCTTTCGATGTCCTCGATAGTTATAATCTATATGATTTCACGAGCCCCGTTGGTACCTGCCCGTCACCTTTCAGCATCGCATCAGCATTTTTATGCTCAACACCACGGCCATCAAGACGATATTTAGAAGACTTTTGGTATGAGGTACATTTTTTCTTTATTATATTATCTATATACAGGCTTCGTTTCGTTTATAATGAAATTTGTGTAACTAGGAATTCCACCATCAGAAATTAAAACAACTCTAATAGTCTAAGTATACCTAAATTATTATTGCTTTACAGTAAGTTTATGTACACAATTTGTCAATATATAATAATATGTGCATTCATCGTAATACAGTCGACCTTCCGATACATTGGATTCTATTATATTATAATGCGACAACCACAGACCGTATTATTATAGGTACTGCAGTCCGATACATCGAAATAATATCCAAAATACTTCATGGAAAACTTTTCAAAAAGAAAATAATTTTCATTCGAAACATCCGAAATTTTGAAACACCGACGTTCGGATAGGCGTAATACTGTATTACAACCACGATTAAACGTATAATGGTTGCTCAACGAGACACGATTACTAGACCCCCAAAGTGTCTTCAACTTTTGGCTGATAAGAATTGTATTACGGCGCACTCTATAAGTCTATTGTAATTTGTAGCAGTAAAGTACACTGATGCTTGGTGATAATATAATGAGAGCGCTAGTCGTTCATTCTTATCAACAGTTTATCGCAGTTTATATAGGACACTTCGGGAACCACATTTCATGTTCTTATTATAGCTCGTTGCGCAACCATTATACCTTTAATCGTGATTACAACTGTCGTTGATTATAAAAGTAAAAAAAAATATATTTAAAAAATATCAATTGCCTAAATCGCCCGTTGTAGTAAAATTATGTTAATAAAATTACTGTTAATAAATAATAATGCAAATCACTATATTGATCCGTTTCACCTTTGTACCTAATATAATTACTTAAAGCTAACATTATAAACTAAGCACAATATACATAGTAAAAGTGTATATTATTTATAAATAAGTGAGTGCGCATGTGTGAGTGTGTCTAATAAATACTACTTAAATCTAAAATTAAAACTACTTTTAACAATATAGTAATGATTATTTACAAAATCCCAACAACAGAATGTTATATTATAATATAATATCAACATTTCTATTAGAAAACAACAATATCAACGACTGGACGACGTATCGAGCCTGACTTACATATATTATACTCTCATTCAAACAACTTTCAACACACTTCCGATAAATATTTAAAAGGACTGGACGTGAATGGTACCTACCTAATAGTTCCATCACGTTTTTTAAAATCAAAATATCACCGATACTAATATCTCTGTCCATATTAAGTTAACCTATCTCTTTGAAATGCTGTACGAATAAATAAAATAAATCTCTTTGAATAATAATAAATTATAAAAATCACAGATGGAACGAATGTCACGACTAGGTATTGCTGTAGCTGCCTTCTAATCCGATTAATAAGACTTATACCCACAAATTATGTCATTACGGTTTACCGTAACTCTGTTATAATATAACGATTTGAAATCTTTTCCTCCAAGCACTCTTAGTGAAATTCACTAATATTATACAGAAACTTGTAAATTGTAATCACGCTCTCCACGATCGAACCGACAATATTACCACCCAAAATATCTGAGCGGAACTCATAAAATATAATACTCAGAATTTAATACGGAAATTACTTAGAACATAAATTGAATATTTGAGTGTATTATAGATGTATGTTGTAGTTACTTACTATAATTTTAGTAGCCTAAGTACTAAATGTTTTCATGGATTTACATTTTTCAACACATTTCATTGGGCTTTATAGAACATTTTATTTTGTCAGAGGACATAATAGGTATAACTGTATAAGTGAAAATCAGTTTGATCACAACGACGTTTTGCAAATGCAAAACTATGTAATTTATAACGAGACGCGTATACAATTTAGTGTAATAGTTTAAATGGGGTGAGTTGAATTTTTGGGTGAAGAGCCTAAAGCTCGGTGGACAGATTTACCTGACCTGACCGATGCTTTAATATAATATTACATGGAGAAAATGTCACTGTAATATCATAAACACTTATAATATTAGGTATTATTGAATAATATGTGATAATATTTTCATGCAAGAGAGTATGAGTTTATGACTGCTTTAGTTAGATATAGTCAGTGGGGACCAAAAAACAAAAATGATGAATACCACAGTGCGTAAACCAAACCATTTAAATATTTAACTGATAGTCTATTTTACTGGTTGACCCATTTTTCGTAATGCTTGATCGGTACTAGAATAAGATCGGAGTAGACTAAGGCCCAACCAAAGGTTTCCGGATGATATGTATATGTGAGTGTGCTAATTTCAATACAACAATGCTACAATCGGTAACTACACGCTATTTTTAAGATTTTTTAGCAAAAAAAACAAACGTTATTTAGAAAGAAAATAATGTTATTAAAATACAAGAATATTTTGCACACGTTTTTATAGTTATATAAGGAAGGTACGTGTACTTTGTTGAAAGTTTCAGCTATGTGAAGAAATAAATTATATGAAATTGGGTAGAAACAGGTGCGGATCCAGGACAGGCTTTGCCCCTTTGTACGTATATTAGGTGTACAATAAATACTTAATGGGTCTTGTTAGTATCCATACATTTGTAATTATACATGAATTATACACCAAATGTAAAAACAATTATACACATTATATCTTAAACAGGTACGATTTTTAGATCTGGACCCGGATAGAAATGGTGCTTAAATTTGTTTGAATTTATCGGACATTTTGGGTACCCAACCATTCCTCTCACATAGATACGTTTTTGAGTTTTCGGGTTTTATTATTTCATAATAAGAGTAGGTACAACAACATTGTAGAGTCATTATAAAAGGTATGGTTTACGACTGTGACTGAATGATAGAAGTTCAATAATTTTTCCTTAATGATGCTGAAATCATATTCATCTTATTTTGAGAAAATCAACTATTTAATCTAAGAATTCTTGTCCATAGATGTATGGAATTGGGCTCATAAGTTTATATTTCAACCGCAGTAGATCATGTACATAGATCTACACCACCAAATTACCATCACCTTATAATCGGCGGATATTGGGAAGCATGTGGGGACGGAGGGCTACGCCCACTAGAATTGGTTAATTCCACTCATAAAGTCCAATGAATTGAAGCTTATCAATGGACAATGGTTCCATGTTAATTATACATTTCAAGCCATCCACGATGTAACCGAATATCCGCCCATGCACTTATGTTATACATTTTTATGAGATAATGAATAGTTGGTTAGTAATTTTTCTGATAATTACACTACTGTCTACGTGTTTTGCACTGCTTAAAAATACCGCAAAGCATACAATTGTTAATGCGAAGTGATTGCAACGACCATTAATTATTAATTATTATTATTTATAGAATTCGCTTAAAAATCTCTACAATTAATTTTAAAATGTTTTTTAAATTAATTTAATTGTTTTATATAAATTTATACCGATTAAATTTAAGAATAAATCTTTCAAATACAATTTCATTCTCCCACATGTATGATTGAAATACGCCGAACAATGAACTATTAGATGTTCTATTTCTTGCTACAGAAATAATTTTTAATGCTATTCGAACATCGAAGAAATTACGTTTATACCGATCAATGTAATTCACAAAACAAATTTAGTCCGGCTAAACTTTAGGCCAATATTTTTCTTCTTTTTTCATAAATCAAAACAATTTTTTCAGGAAAAATATAAAATATTAAATATTAGATTGGGTGTTTTAAAAGTGAGTACTAACAAGTAACAACTAACAACTAACAAGTATCTCAGTTTCTACTGGTACAATAGTATTCGATTATAACAGTCTTGTGGATGTGGTGTTAAAGATAACTAAAATGTTTCTAAAAATATTTATCTTTATAAAGATATAATTTAATCATAATAATATAATTTATTACGAATTTGAATCGTTATAAAATATGTTATTATTGTATAATAAAGAACAGTATTAGTTGTACAAGAAGTACTTCTAGTACTGTTATTATTATTCAATTTGTATTTTAAATTAAATACATTTAATAAATATTCATAGGGTTATCAACAAAAACCCATATCCATCAAGCAGAGCTAAAATCGAAAAAAGTACAGAGACCCTGACATATAATTAGTGCGGATTTTCAAAGATTTCTGTGCTAAGAACCATACATTAGATATTGGCCAACTACAATAATAACTAAAAGGCTTACTTCAAAACTTAAAATACTAAGAGTCAAATCGGTAAAATGGGTTTTAAATTGTATACAAAAAGATTTTTCAATTGAGACGTTACAAAACGGTAAGAGATATTTAAGCGGGGATATTTTGTCGTATTTTCTACTCAAAATTATTTCCTATAATCTTTTTTTTTAGGAAATTAAACGACAATGATACAGCATAAATTGTTATTATAAAAAAATTAAGTTCTACGTAGTGTAAGTACTTAAAAATATTTGTTAAAATAGATTAACATTTTGGTCAGTCTAGCAATATGATTGCAATCAGCCCAATATTAGGTGCGTACTTGAAGCAACATGTTGGCAAAGTTTGAGTTTGTGAACTTGAAGTGTCTCTTGTCATAGAACTTGAGCAGCGCCGGGCTGTACGGGTGTTTCTCTTTGAGATGAATGTAGTGCACTTCGGGTTCATTGGTGGTGTGTCCACATTCTTCGCAAACGTACATCTGTAATGAAAACCATATACGTTAAATACCGTAAATATTATGACATTTACTTAATTTATGACTGGCATAAATTCATAATAATGAAATATTTTTATGACAGCTGTGCCAGGAATGTACGTACCTTTGTTCTTCTCTCTTTATAGGCATACTGATGATGTACGCCATGCACTTTCAAGCAGTGAGATTCGAGTGAACAACGTTGGGTGAATGATTTCTCACAGAGATTGCACTTGTAAGGCCGAACACCTGTTGATAGAAAAAACTTATTAATTCATGTGGTTACTGTTGATTTTATTTGAGAAACTAAACGAGTTTAACAGATTTTTTAATATCTGAATGTTAAATTGATTTTGTTTGCATAACAAAATTAAATTAATTTAAAACAGTATGCATTTTTTTACAAAGTAATTACTCTTCAAAAAAAGTCACATTATAAATCTCTAGGTGGCTAATATCTGATATTAAAAATAATATTATCATCGATTTTATATTTTAGTAAAGATATAAAATTGTAAAGTATTATTAATTTTAAGTTATAACATATAAATATGTAAGTAAATTGTTTTTTGTTCAAAAAATTCAACTAACCATCTTTATTTATTTTTCAATTTAAAATAATATGCAACCCTATCATAAATCCTAGACTCTTATTGATGGCATATTTCTAAGTGCACAATGTACGTACCAGTATGTGTTCTAGTGTGTCGTTTTAAGTCAAATGTGTCATTGAAACCCTTTCCGCAGAATGTGCATAGGTATCGTTTGACGTCACTGTGGCATTTCATGTGTCTGTTTAACAAACGTTGTAGGTTGAATGTCTTGGAACACAGGTTGCAACAGAACTTTGAACCGTTTTTGGTTGTTTCGACTGGTTCTGGAGTAGAATTTACTGATACGATAGTTGCAGGAGCTACTAAAGTATTGCTCCTCTCTGGTTCTGGTGTTCTAATTAGCATTGATGGCGGCGGTGGTGGTAGAGTATCGTGATTGGCTAATGGATTCTTGATGCCATGGCCACCGTTGACAAACTCGAATGGCAAGTCATTAGGAAGACCGAGCTGTAAATGATAATTGGGGATGAGTACACACAATAGGTCCTGGGTGATTTTAGGGAATAAAGAAATATATCAAAGAACAATATGTACTTTTGCCATCGATTTACTGGAGAAAGAAGAATATTTTGGTTTCCCTACAGGTGGGGTGGTCTTTCTCACCCTATGTTGCAGTACTCTGACATCCAAAGCGGAGTTACTGGAATCTTTGCCATTTTGAGGTGGTGGCGTTAGTGAGGACATTGTACCATCCATACTAACGCTAGCAGGTGATGGAGCCGACATGCTGGTGTTTGAGTCCATCTCTAGCGACGATAAACCCGGTGACAACATCATCTGTCCACAAGCCTAAAACAATAAAATGTTGAAACGATTTTGATACATTGCTAATGTTTTTTTTAAGTTAGACTAATGGTATGCTTACGTCTACGTTTTGTGGTTGTTGTAATTGCACTTGTATTTGTAACTGTTGTAGTTGTTGGTTGGAGTCTTCGAAACTGCTTTGTGATAATCTGTCTTTTGATATATCATAACTTCCATAGTTATTTCTGCATGCTACTGGCTGTCCGTTATTGTTGTTGTTCACCTGATGTAGATAATTGCGCTTCTCTGATTGTGATTCGGGAAACCCGTTTCTATGTTCATTGAACATATGTAGAGGTTGTTCGACGAGTGAAGGAGGAATGCACTCTTGGGGCTGAAAAAAAATTATATTAAAATACTGATAATCAACATGTGCATTAATGAACTTTTAATATTATTAATTATAATGCATTACTAAGTACGGTTGTACGCATGATGCAATTATGTCATTTTAAAAAACCAAAAAAAAATTGTACATTCATATACATTTACCTCTTTGAAGAACAATTCAGCGGCGTCGTTAAGGCTGTCCAAGAAGTCGGGGTCCGTGGGACCCGCGAAAGTAAGAGTAGCAGTGAACTGCAAAGGATCGCTGGATGTTCCATTTTCAGAATCAGCCATCAACGTGTCGAAACCGTTAGTTTCCTTTACGTAGCTTGATAAATCTTCGCAATCGTCCTCTTTAATGTCTATGCCTAGCGACGAGGCATTTTGTAACATTGAATATTGTTTCGGTGGACCTTCCAATCCAATGGAGAAAGGACCACCACCACCAGCCACAGGATGTTGACCCGTGTCGTTGTTATTGAAACATAATTGATCGGTCATCATCAAATGATATTGATTGTTGTATTGGGCGGAATAGCAATTGCCGCCCGATTTTATGAGGCTCTCGTGGAAGGGCGGCAGCGACACAGGACTATTTGGTCCTCCGAAATGCTTGCCGTTGCCGCCGGGGTTCATGCCGCCACCACCTGGGGCCATGCCACCACCCCCGCCACCACTGCCCAAGAGGCCAGTGGGGCCACCACCTCCTCCGCCACCAAGTGTGTACGAATGCAATGACGAGCCGCGGTTTGAACTAGAGTTGGTACTGCCACCGTTTGTACCTCCTCCACCGCCTCCCCCTTGTTGACCACCACTGCTCCTTCCACGGCCTGCAGCGGCAGTGATAATACCATTTGGTGCTGAAACCAACTGTCCTCTTAACGTAATAGTGAATTTATTCTTGATGGCTCGAACAATGTCCAAGTCCAAATCTGCTTCCTTTTTGGGCACATGATAATCGATAGGTGCGTCTTGTTCGGGTTCCACCACAATGCTTGGAGACTGTGTTACTGGTCTTTTCGGACAGACGGGTGGTGATTTGACGGCTGCTGGTGTTCTTTGTATGACGGACACCTGGTGACATTTTGGTGCTACTGGTGCTGCTGGTGGTGGTGGTGGTGGTGGCAACTTGGGTTCAACCTCCGGGCTAGTCACAGCTTCCTCTTCGACTTTGATAGAGGGTGGTTCACATTGCCGATGAGTTACTTGCAAGCTATCTTTACTACCGTATGGTATATTATCGCCATCTGACGTGGATATGAATCGCCTTTTTGGCGGTGGGTTCCAGTCAGGTGACGGCGGACATATTATCGGCGTAGGAGCCTCAATAGACACCGTAGGACTAACTCGGTGGTTTGGAGACTCTGCTCTATTTCGTGATTGTCGCTCCAAACCATTAACTCGGTCGACCTCTTCATCATCGTCATGCAGTAGATCTTTGTTGGCGACATTTTTCTCTGTAATACATAAACAAAAATTAGTTTAAACGTACAATAGAGCACTGCACGGTACAATATTTGGCTAACCAAAATTACATCGATTGTCATTTGTATGGTTGGTCTGTTGTTACAAACACCTGTATACCGTGTCACATTCGATATCCCTTTTTAAACATAGCAAACATATACGTAACGCGCGACGCCCTAAACCCTTTAACCCACTGCCAGACTGTTGTTTGTCTCCAGTCCAAGGATAATTGTTATATGCCGCACCGACACAGCAACAAGGTCGCGGTTGCCCCAAAATAAACAACCGCCTTGCATGTTAGTTATAAAAGGGTTACCGACGAACCCCTTGTTGACTACAATAAAACCATAATTCACATCGCCGTTGTAACAGTATTTGACCAGCAGTCTTTGTGTAGTCAGACAGCACAAACAAAACGGGACAAATAAAAGGAACAACGCGCGACGTACAAGGCCGAGTTTTATTACTGTTCAACAGTCGTCACCCCAACTCATTACGTTTAATGGTCACAGATACCAATCCATGAGTTTGACAATAGAGTAAAAAATGTGTTGTTGAAGAAAACGTTTGTGGTATTTTAAACCACGTCATTACGCATACAATATGATCCTCGCGTTTACAATGAAATATTATGCCGCAGTTTCTAAACTTAAGTTTTTACTCGCATCAAAGTCTTGTGAACTTTCGTGATAAACCGCGGCAATCTCTGCATAGCGACGAGCCACGATGTAAGTAGGACGTGCAGTATAAAATAAACACACGGTATAATAAAATAATAATATGATAGTCGGGACCGGGTTTGGCCGCGTCACGAGTACCGGACGAACGGTTCTAACCGGATTGTCAAGAAATAAGGCTGCGTTCACAACGCAGTATTTCAATATCGAAACTCTCAAATGTACAGGTAATATGATATTTTGATGGGTATACCAAATGCCTATGGAAAACAATAATAATATATTATAATACATCGATTCGAATCGGCGTCGTTCGACTTGGACGCGTTTCACGAGAAAACTCTATAGTATAATGAAGTATTCTGGGTCATCTACGAGTACCGACGTACTCGTATATATGTATATATATCTATATAAACGCCGTTCCGGTGTAAAGTATTGGGTACGGAAGGTAAACGGAAAAAACCGTCCAACCAGCCACCGCGGCCGACCGTAACGATCAATGTCGTTGCACTCGGCCGTTGCCTGCACATAAAACACTATAATACAATAATTATTTATACATATATATATATATATATATATATATATACATTTATATTAATAATACAGCTGTGTCCGACCCGCAACATTTACCTCGGAGATTATTCACCGTAATGGTGACGGTCGTGTTTTTTTTTTTTTTTTATTTCAATTCAACACACCAGAAAGAGCAAAAAGCGTACAATTTTCAGCGGTAACCAATTAAATCAGATTTTCGCGGCCATTGAATTTCGTTACGTTTACAACAATATTATAATAATATATAGGCAGGCAGGTATACAGCCAGGCATCACACCGGCTGCAGTTCGCCGGTTTTTCACGACTACCTCTATATGTGTATCCGAATCAATGCCGCCGACGATGCGCGTGGCTTGTGTGAACAAATCTTAGAGCGTGACTGGCAAAACTTGTTTTATTTTTTATTTTATACACCATCGAAACGTGTACACGTACTTTTGTGTGTGAATGTGTGTGTGTGTGTGTGTAGGAGAGCGAGTTGTGTGTGTATACGATCATAATAATATACGCGTACACAATACATGACGCTATTATATATATATATATGTGTGTGTGTATAGGTATAACCGTGCGAAATACTTGCTGAATTTCAAATCATTAACCAAGTTCAAGGCAAAGTTCACGTCTGCGCCAGCTACAACATAATGGTCGGTCGTTAAAATCTCCCAAGGACAAAATATCATACTCCGACGGCGGCGTGCGCGCTGCTGCAGAGAGACGGTGCCTAGCTATAAATATATATATATGTGAGTGTGTGCGTGTGTATAAATGTATATAACGTACACGCGTGTAATTTAAATTTTATCACTATACGAAATCAAACCACCACCACCGTACGCCAGTCACCGCCGCCAATCGGGACGACACAATCGACGATATATACCTACGTGACTTGAGTGCGAATATTTCGTACCTATACCTATTATTATAGGTACATACGTTTTTACGGGACACGTGTGTGCGTATGTTATACAACGATTTAATGTTAATACTGTACACGACGTTGCTATCCGCAGTCGAGAACCCCGAAAAATATTTTATTTTTTTAAATACCGACCTTGGACGGATTTTGGCCGACACCGTAGGTACGGTATATTCCGCTCGACGACGGATACGGAATAGTAAATGAATGTGGGTGTTACTCGCCCGTATAATATTATTATCATGTTAAATATTTTAATATTATTATTGCAATAGTCACTCTGTAAGTCGAGCGTAGGTATCTACCACGTCTGTGGCGTTATAGGTATGTCGTCGCGATTGTGTATATTATTCGTTTTGTAAAATATATTACGTTTTTGTTTTTTGGCCGGCGTGGGACGGACGCACGTTCTGCGAGAGAGGGTAAAATGAAACAAAAAAAAAAAAACCGTACACGCATTATGCATTGCGTTATTATTATTGTACTACGAAATCATAATGGCGAACGACACACTCTTCTTCTCTTCCGCCGGGCACGACGAGCGGCCGCGCATTATAACGGTACTCTTCGCCGTCACACACACACACACACACACACACTACGTATTGTGATGTACATAATATTGTGTATGACTGTATGAGTATAATAATATATAATATGGCCGGGCGACAAAACGACGAGCCGGACGATGCCGTAGGTAGTCGTGTGTGTTTTTTATGGGTCACCGGTAAATAACTAAGTAATAATAACGTCGACGACCGTTTTCGGTGTGTGATATCTGTCTATTGCGTCGAATTACATAATCACGACATGAATGCGACACATATACAGCGATGTGCCTGTCTATGAATCTTGTAAGTACCGCGACTTGGAACTGCTCAAATGAATAATATGTTTTCGTGTACCTATTTTTCTTCGATCCGAGAAAATATTTTGTGTACGTATATCACTATGACGTGGTGGGCAGCGATCCTCTTCGGACAAACGAACTTTGTACGACGATCAGAGACGTAGGAAAATCATCATAAAACCTACGACCCTGGCTTGAAACACGTAGGTAGGTAATGTGTGTATACCTATTTAGACGCCGCCTCCCGTTATCCGCCGAGAGCGAATGCCAGTATTATAAAAACCTATGTGTGTGTACCGCTATAATGTATAAAAACATTATAAACTCGTCTATTGAAATATAGACAAATGCTATGGTTTATATATTTTTTTTGCCGTGAGTAACATGCGATTTTTTATAAAGTAATACAAAACGCGTCATAAATAAAATATAAAACATAATATTATATTATTATTCATATTATTATAAATAGTTTTCGGCCGTACATTTTCAGTGCCATTGTCCTGTCTGCGGCAGCATAATATTATACACACAATAATATATAACATAAGTACCTACCTACCTATATATATATATAAATATACGTATAGACGAATATAACCGCTAGCAGTACGGCAATGGGCGGGTGGCAGGGTGGGCGGGCGCGCCAAAGGACACCGAACGGCGACGGCCTCGGCCGCAACAACGGACGCATATTATAACCGGATAAAGGATTCTGTTATTTATAACGATTTTTATTTTATTATTTTTTTTTTGAGAAAAAACGTAACCGTCTATAGGTAGAGAGGTATATTATGATATAACGCGTATACTACCCGTCTCTAAGTGACTAAGTATTATTATATATATAAACGCTCTCCGGTCTGTCCTCGAGACGCCACCGCTCCGCACCAGTCGCGATGTCGTGTCATGTCCATATATTATTATTATTATTATTACTGTCGTCAGTAGACGTGACGTTTATCGATCGTTTTTTGCCCGAGCCCGAACTTGCGCTGTTATCACAGACCTCGACGGTGTTTCGTTACGAATTATTTTCTATATTATATTTTCTCCCCTTATAGGTTCTTCGTCGCTTATATTTTCTCCACGTCTAGGTTCTTCGTCGCCCGTCGGTGCCACAGATTGAAAACCGCTTTACGAATGCCCGCGAAAATACCGAAAACCAAATATCGCGACGTGTGTTGCCGCAACAGGTGTGTGCCTACTTGTCGCGACACGACGAAGGGCGGTGTCTCATAACTGCTGTTTACTTAATGTTGTGATTTCGGTGATTGGGGCCCGATCTCAAATTATTATTATATTATGACTCACGTCCGACGAGGCAGTCAAAAGAACGCGACGGTATAATATATAAAAAATCAAAATAGTAATATGTATTATAACGTCGTCGTCGTTGTCGTCGTCGTGGCATTGGTCGATCCGGAGGTCTCTCTCTCTCTCTCTCGATACATATATCTATGTATAATAGTCGTGTACAGTCAGGTTTTTGTCCGGCACACCTCGATAGACTTCAAGGTAAAACTCGTTTCAGGTTCATTACGATCCGATGCCACTATAATATTATTATATACAGTAGACCGTCGGCTAACGGCCGCAGAACCTATTATATGTATATATACATTATAGAGATCGACGGACAGCGTTTTATATGTATATGAAAAAAAAAAACAGATAAATAAATGTATAATGTACGGCGGCGGGGCGGGGAAACAAAAGAAATCCGCCGGCTATAACAGTGATATTCAGAACGTATTTTATATACGTCGTGTGAGCTGCGTCTGTGGCTGTGTACGGTTCGTCGGTACACGCCGCCGCCGCCGCTATACTTCTCCTCGCTCGCCGCTCCTCCGAAGCGGCCATCGTTTTTTTGCCACATCGCCGACACGGCAGTGATTGTTCCGGTGGTGGTGGGGCCAGCTCGTTTCCCGTGTACTCGCTCGCAAGTGCGGTCAATCATTTTATAACGTCAGTCATAAC